AAGGTGTCATTGCAGTGGATGCAGACCAATGTTAATTATGTTTTGTGGATCAAAAATGACCAGATTTATTCACATCTGATTTAACACATCTGACATCAACCCTCTCAAAAAAATAAATGTAGATAAATGTTACTTTCAATAAGCAGCTTGTTATATTCAAAAATGCCTTGAACATTTTCAGACTGTAAAAATTCCACGCATGTCATTTATTGTGTATGAAAACAACCAAACTTCCTACATTAGGTATTTACTAGGATCATGAGGTAAATTACAGTTAAGTACTGAAAAACGACGTTCACTATTTTAAGTGAACAAAGATATACAGACTAATCAACCATGGGCAATATATATTTACTGGAATAAGTTTGCTTCCAATAAGGTTAATCACTGTTTGACAGAAAACAAAGAGAAATAGAAATCAGATTAATGTTTACATGCCTTAAGAACAATACCAGATTTTGTGATGTGTTAGGAAACTGTGTTCACAGAAGTTTAACTTTTGTCTTTGATGCTATTGAATACGCAATGCTCATTAGAACTTGATTTTAAAAAATACACAGATGGCTGTTGATTCATTATTAGAGACCCAGTTACATGAAACACTGAGAAACACTTGCATTTCTGTTACATTTTTATGTTTTTTTAATGTCACATTTACCATTAAAATAACATCTGTGTCATGTTTGACTTGCATGAATCCACTCAGTTGTTGACATAATATAATTTTATATCAATCAGCTTTAATTTCCCAATCTTAATTTCTTTCCTATGCAGCATGTTTCTGCACTGTTTCATAGCATGATATTAAATGGCATATTTTGTCTATTTTCTTAAAACATGTCTTCATAATGGGCTTGATTTAATATGTGGCTCTATACCTGTTGAGGGACATTTGCGCTGTATTATTGGCGCTAATGGTTTTACATGCCTGATAAAGTATATCTGACAGTTTTAGTTTCTGGCTTTCATCTATGCAAACAGTTTGCACTTTATGTGCTTTAAGAACGTACACTTTAATTCAATAATATTTTTGAGCTACTATAGACAGATATTTACACAGACCTCATCTGACTGTAGACAAAATTATCAGATGTAGACTTGGCACAATGCCTGAAAAAATATGTAATAAATCCTTTCTAACCGCCCCCCTACCCCACAACCAAACATCACCACGACTACAAGATGTATGAAATTCGTAACACAGAAGGAAAAAATCTCAGTGAGAAGAACAACTCTTAAACACAACAACAGTACCCTAAGCTATTCTTCCTTTGGTGCAGGACTAAACATGACTGTTTCAGCACCAGGTTGGCCAGAGGCTATGTTGTTGAATTGTTTACACTGCAAGTGTTACATCTACTGTTTTTGCTGTTGTACAAATTAATATTTAAGCGTCATTTTGAGATGTCAGTACAGTCTCAGCACAGCCAGCATTGAGATCACACTACCACATCTAAAATTATTAAATCGAGCCCAATGTCTTTGTTCTTATTTTTTTAATCATGTTTTGTTTTCTGAACAATTGTTTAATTACTGTTCAGATGTAAAAGTGGAGAAAAATAGCAGTGACGACCATCTATTTTAAGTTACATTTTGTGAGAAACAGATTTCTTCAGTTCTTTCCTAATATTTTATATTAAGTCTTAAAAACATGGCCTTAAAAATTAGTGAATACAGTATAAGGGCCAAGAATTTAGTAAAAGTTGGAACAAATAGTCAAATATTTTGGCTGCAAAATATCTTTGAAATGCTAAATTGGTTATCCGGTAATTTTGGCAGATGCCATTCCTGTTGATGGTAATGTATGAGAAAATGAGCTTATTTGGAATCAATTAAACTAGTTTGTATCCAATGAGCAGACTTGATAAATCACAGACTGCTTATTTTTTTCACATTGTTAGGATGTGGAATGCCCTGCCAAGTAAGGTGGTCAAGGTAGAGTCCATTATGGGTTGCAAGAGGGAAGTAAATGGATATATGAAAGTTAGAGGCTTGAAGGGGTATGGGATAAGGCAGGACAGTGGGATTGTTAGTCTATCTTGCTCTGAGAGTAGATGCAGACTCATTGGGTCAAATGGCTTCTTTCTGCTCTGTAAGTTTCTGTGATTCTACGATGTAGAAGTGGGTGTTCATTGGGTTCCCAAATACACAGTCCCTCCACTTTACAGCATATCCTGTGAAGAGAACATCCTCCTGACATGAAAGGCACTAGACCAAATGCAAGGATTATTATTATGTGGTTAGTCCATTGCTGGCCATCCAAGTTATAATGGGGTCTAATTTGTGACATTTCTTAAAACGCAATCCGACCAGAATTCCTCTTGACCGGAATGAGTATACAACTTTAGGCAGGCAAATGTTAGCGGTATGAGGGTTGAGCCAATTGACATAGGCTGGGAGGCATTATTCATGGACAAATCAATTGATCTGAAGTTGCCTGAGAGAAGGAAGCTGAGGATAATCATTAGAAGAGCTAGGTTACAATGAGGGAAGTATTAAGCAGGGTGCCTCAAGGGTCTGCAATGGGAATCCTCATGTTCCTTATATAAATGACCTGGATTTACAGACCTAATGTACGGTCGTTACATTTGTTGATGATACCAAGTTGGAAGGAACTGTGGAGGCAGAAAAGATCTACCAGCTCAGTGGTTAGAGCACTCGCTTTGCAAGCGAGAGACCTGAGTTCAATTCCAGGCAGGGCAAAACCTTGGGCAAGTTTCCTTACTCCACACCCCTAATAATAATCCCTCCAAAAAAAAAACAATAATAAATTGGTCATTTTCAATCTACGGCTGTTTGTGGGACATTGCTGTGCGCAATTGGCTGCCACGTTCTCCCACAAATATACAGTCAATTCATTTTACAGTGTATTCTGTGAAGCGCTTTGGGACGTCTAGAAGACGTGAAAAACGCTATATCAAATGCAAGGATTATTATTATTATTATTATCTTAAAACTTGCTCAAGTATGCACATGGACTGATTACTGGCAAATGAAGCTCAATACAGATAAAGCAACTGCATATGGGAAATAAAAATAGGAGACAGGATATAACTTGCCAAAAGTGAAGTTGAAAAAGACCACGAGTTGTAGTTGACTCCAATATTGGAGGAATGAGCTAAGAGCATGGATTAGCCAGGCTAGCTTCAGTCTTAAAAAAGAGACAACACAGAGGGGACCTAACTAAGTTTCTAAATGGGAATGAAAAACTAACCTAAGAACCATACTTTTGATGCACTGTAACAAAGGACAATTTCATGAACAGACATAGAAATTCTCTTTTAGCCACCTGGAACGGGTTACTGGGAAGTGTAGTTGAGGCCAGGATGTTAGATTTATTAAAAAAACAGTTTGACCCTGTAATAGGAAAATGGTGGTGGTTGAGGGTGGAATATATTCTGGAAGCATGAAATCAAATAAGCCGAAGCCTTCTTGTAGGGTCTCACCTGAACCTCTCTTGCACTTCCAGTTACTGGACAGACTGCTCTTTTGCACAACTGTTTTTTTTATTAAGGATTCCTATTAAGAAATACTGCAAATTATCCCCCAATATGTTCTTTTAGCATTGCTGCACTTCCTCTATCAAAGGAAGCCCTTCTTTCGGTAGTCTTTTTTTCCCTTAAACGATACCCACACCATTCACCCAGTTGCTTTTGCCCATCCCCTATTTTGCCCATTCCATCCCTGCAATTATTGGCTCCCAGTCACTCTTCCCCTCACTTCCTGTGCCTTCATTCCCAGTTTTCCTGAGGTTTGTTCCTTGGCACATATCTTCCCCTTCTCAAGTGTGTATTGGAGCTACAATTATCTCCTGTATCTTATTACGCAGCATTATTCCAAGCACAGTTTCTGTCTCGTCTGATGCTCCCCTGTCCTAAGTTGCATACTTTTGATCTCATTCTCATTTTACCCACTCTTCACAACTCCCTTCTCAGTAGCAAAACTGCAAAATACTGGCTGCATTGACAGCAATCCCACCAACTGAGTTGTAGCTGTTTAAGCTCATACTATTTAAGCTACAATTAGTTGGAGTAAAGGAGGGGAGTACATACAAGCAATAAACAGGACTGCTGCTGTATTGTTGTATATTTACTTGATCACAGTCAAATGAGACACAGCTTGATGCCCAGTTAAGCAGGATTACACAAGTGCAGGCAAGGCACTGGGAGTCTGTGCATAGTGGAGAGAAGGAAACTAGGTTCTTATTTGTTTTTTTTATAAAAAACTCCTTTGGAACCAACTGACTCAATGACAGAATGCTCCAACAGTGAGAAACTGACCAGGAGCCAAACCCAGTAGAGTGACTGTATGGAAACCACCTTCTGAAATCTGACACTGGCACATAGATATGTTCTTATGAAGCAAAATCTGACCCTAGCAGCATCAGAACTAATTCCAGAAGATATAAAATAATAGTCCTTGCATTTGATGTAACGTCTTATGTTATTGACATCTCTTAAAGCGCTTCACAGGATATAATGTAAAATGGTTTCGACTGTGTATCTTGTGGGTGAAACCTAGCCACACAGCAATGTCCCACAAACAGCCAAGAAATGAATGACCAATTGTATTTGGGGAATTGCTGGCCAGGAGAAACTCCCTTTTCTTTTTGAATAGTGCCATGAGATCCTTAATATCCACTTGAACAGGTAGATTTAACGTCTCATCCCAAGGACATTACTTCCATAATCCAACACACTCCAGCACTGCATTGCAGTGTCATCTTAGACGACATTATTCCAAGTCCCAAAGTGAGTCTTGAACCGACAACCTTCTGACTCAGTGGCGAGAGTGCTACCACTGAGCCAGGCTGACACATAGATATGTTCCTATGAAACAAAATATCAATGAACTTGATCTACGTCAGTTTCTTTTGATGTTTGCTCATGAATGAGTCACTGCTGTTATTCCCATTTTTACAACCTCTGGTTTGTCAGCATGAGTATGACAGCAATTACTGTAGATGTCCCTGTTTGCCCCATTCCTTTTCTCCTTCACAGTCATTCAATGACAAGCGTAAAAAGAACTTCATCTTTTCACGAAAATTCCCTTTCTACAAGAACAAGGACCACAGTGAGCAGGAAACCAGTGATCCAGAACGTAAGTAGGCCTAAGAGATGCCATAATAGAACAGCACACACACAACACATACACGCAGGCAGGTGAGGCTATACTACTGTGACCAGTGTGTGACAGCAATCTGGATCCCACAATATTGGTTCTTATTTCCCCAAAAGGAAACCTTTTATAAACAGGTGTGAACGAAACTGCTAGGAAGAGTTAGAGACCGTGTCCCTTTTTTGCCAGCCTAGGTACACTGTATTTCACAATAAATGCAAATCTGACCAATAATTTAGAATATTCCCATGAATAATCAGAAGATCAACTCTATTTGCAGTTTCCATTCAATATATATAATAGTCACATTATGACTAATGTGCCGCTGATTTAAGTTGGCAGCAAATTGGTGCAGTGGAGTGGTGTTCATTGATTATAAATATCTGCAATCCTTTAACGTTGAAACAAAGATGTACCACTTCAGTGGGCTGTTCATCTATTTGTCAGTAGTTTAATATGAAATACAGCTTGTGTATGGGAATCGAAGGGATACTGTCTCTGTAAGTGGACTGTTTTGGAATGTACTAATCCAGACAACTAAAGGTTCCTGGAAAACCCAGTATGGTAAAGCCACAGTGCAATGTGAAAATACAGTGGGGCTCCCGATTGGCCTATCTGCATGGTCTGTCATGGTAGTATTCAGTTCAAATCCACTGACTTCTTCCTTCCTTTCTGCGGTTATTCTTCTTGTCTTTGCTTGCTGTCTGGGGACTACTGTGCAGGAGATCCCTGGGTTAGCCGACGACGGTTATGGAACAAAAACTCTGAGTAAGTTCTGAAGAATGGCCACAATAACATGTCACTATAATTATTATTTTTTTGAAAAATATATTTTTTTACATTTGTCCCGAAGAAACTCCTAGCATGTAAAAATGCCGATTTAATTGGAACCAATGTGAATGTCCCAGACTTTATTCTTTTCTTTATGTTTTGCATGATCAGTTAAAACCAGTGCACAATCACTGTCTGAACACCTATCCGGAACGATTTCCATGTCAATGACCTACTGTTTCTCAAAGTAACTCTGTGCTTATACTGTTGAGGGTGAAACCGTGTTATGGAAAAATTTGTATTGCAGAGATATGTACCCTCCCCATCCCTTCTGCATCCTCTTGCCCATAATGCAATTTCCATTGCTGTTTTCAACACTATTTCCATGTATAACTAACTATTCTTTCATGTTTTCACTATGGACATTTCTGTTGACCAGCATGTGTTTAATTCACTGCATTTTAAACATTCATTTAAGTTAATGCTGCTTTGTGGTGCTTTGTTGTATTCATCCTAATTTGCAATATTGTTATTGCAGAACATGTTACTTCTAATGCCAGCGATAGTGAAAGTAGCTACAGTAAGTTTTTTTTTACATTTTATTTTTCAGCACTGTATTTATTTTCTGGTCCTTTTCTTAAAAAGCTTGATGAAAGCAACTGACTTTATGCATGCCTTAAAATATAGTTTTTTTATATTAATAACAATGTCCAGTTACATTACATCTAAAGATTGCTATGCTTCCTGCTCAGTTTTCGAGCAGTGCATTTTCAGCTATAGGATCTGAAATCTCTTAGACACAGTGTGTTAGGGTTGCCTTATACTTGTGGGTTTAAGGTTTTCTAAAATAAACTTGCATTGCTTGCTGTTTTATTGATCAAGTTACTATCTGATTGAACAAATATAACCTTTTTCTTTAGCATAAAATACTGGGTAATTTGCTCGTGTATCTCTTTCTCTGGAAAACTGAACAGGCATAGAGCATTTTTTTTACTTTGCAATCATGGTTAATTTTCAGCACAGAGAAAACCAACCACTGTTCCACAGGATTGTGCAAAAAATATCTTGGATGTCAAATAGCAACTGCTAAGTGTTTGAGAAATCAATCCATTGAAAATAATATTTTGCTCAAAATGCTCTATGAAACGTCTTAGTTTTAAATAATCAATGCCCTTGCTATAATAAACAAAACACTTCTTACGTGATATACAAGCATTCCTTTGGTAGGATCTGATCAGAATATTTTTTATTAAAGACTTACATTTTCTTTCTGCCATCAGGGGGTCAAGAAGACTGTATTCTTTCATATGAACCAGTTACACGACAAGAGAGTAAGTTGGACATCCAATCAATCATGTTATTTTTAGTCTGACTTGTGCGAACACTCCTTCACATGCTTAAGAGTCTCCAGTTCCAGTAACCGAGAACTCATTGAAGAAGTTTCATTTGACCAGTTTTGAAGAACACAATGCCTCCTGAGGACACACACTTGCATGCACACACACACACACCTACCCACTCTGCTCGCCTGTGCCTGGAAAACACAGCAGCAAAACGAGCCAAGCCAAAGTGCTTGTTGGGAGCACTGTTGGAATATAAGCAGCTGAAACCATGCAGCTTGCCAGTGTGAGCAATTGATAAACTGCTGCTGAATCATAGATTATCCACGGTAAGAGTATTGTTTCTTTGTAAATGAGTTTTGAAAATTTCTTACTTTCTGCAACAGCCTGCTGCAAAAAGACAGCTGAAGAATCATCTGCTTTGCATTGTATTAGATACACTATCAATTGTATTTTTAGCTTGTTTGTAATAAACCTGAATTTTCGTAGAGATAGTCAGTGACAGTGAATCATTGCCCCTTTCTGATTTGTGAATATCTTAACACTTGTATCTTATCACTTTACTATGGTTGCATCACCCTTGCATAGACCTGTAATACAGCAGTAGAACTTGATAATCTCTAAATAGATTGAATTTGCATTGGTACACAAGTACAGTACATCGGAATTCTCATATAACTGCATACACAAAATCCACTGTGTCCCTGATTCAAAAGGCTAAGGACAGAAAGATGTGTCACTTGTGCTTATGAGCTAGATTGTAAGATCTAGCTGGCTCTATTATTTATAATATTAATAATTATTCAATTTGATATAGCATCTTTCACGTTGGTAGGACATCTCAAAATTCTTCACTGGATATACTGTAAAGTGTAGTGACCATGTGCTTTGCAAGCAAATGCAGCAGCCAATTTGTGCAAGCAGTGTCCCATAAACAGCAATGAAGTGAATGACCAATTTTATTTGGGGGATTATTGGTCAGGATACCAAGAGAAACTCTTTTCTCTTTTCAAATAGTGCCCTGGGCTCTTTAAAGTCCACCTGAAAAGATAAACTGGCCCTTAGTTTAACATCTCCTCCAAAGCACCTCCACAAATGCACCCCACCAACACTGCAATTGCATGTCAACTAATTGGATTTTATAAATGAAGAACTGCTTCTCAGGCTAAGAAAGAGCTGCAGTAAACTCCAAACATCTGATGCAACAGTAGAGAATAAACCAAGGAGAGAATTGGAGATGTTTTTTCAGCCAGGTGATCAAGGCTGGGCAGTAACTAGTTGGTGATATCTTCCAACGCTGAATCTCACCATTTACAGCTTAAACTAGGTTGGCTAGACATGATGGCTAAATTGGGGTTTATAACAGCATTGGGATATCATTAGAACAGTACTGGTATACAGAGACAGGCCATCAAAATGAACTGTACAAAATTAGATGCGCCTTTTCATGGGGAAATCATTAAGAGTGATATTTTCCAAGTAAAAAAATTCTGTCATTTGTTTTTCAGTTAATTACACTAGACCTGTAATTATTCTGGGCCCAATGAAAGACAGAGTTAATGATGACCTGATATCAGAATTCCCAGACAAATTTGGCTCCTGCGTGCCTCGTAAGTATCATGTATTTAGTTTCAACAGATATGTGTTTCATTAACATTTGGCCATCTAGATATTTGATCATGCTGCGATGCAACCTTAAGCAGAAAAAAGGGTTTTGCACCATTTTCAGGCCAATACTGTTACAAGAATTGTATCTTGTGTGCTGATGTGTGCTTAGGAACAGGGGTAGGCCATTCAGCCCTTTGAGCCTGTTCCTCCATTCAATTAGATATTGGCTGATCTGTACATCAACTAATCCTGCCAATTCCAATTTCCTGCCTTTTCCCCATATCCCTTAAAATCCTGATCTACCAAAAATCTATCAACCTCACTCTTGAAGTTGTGGATGGATCCAGCTTCCACAGCTTTTTGGGGGAGAGAATTCCAGATTTCTACCACCCTTTGAGTGAAAAAATGCTTCCTGATTTCACTCTTAAATGGCCTGGTTCTAATTTTAAGACTATGCCCCCTTGTTTTGAATTCCCCCACTAGAGGAAATAGCTTCTCTGAATCTATCCTATCAAATCTCTGTTATCTTAAATACTTCAATCAAATCATCCCTCAACCTTCTAAACTGAAGGGAATACAATCTAAGTTGATGCAGCCTTTGCTTGTAACTTTACCCTTGAAGGCCTGAAAACATTCTGGTGAACCTGCGTTGCAACACCCCTCTCGGGCCAATATATCTCTCCTGAGGTGTGGTGCTCAAAATTGACCGCAGTACTCCAGATGGGGTCTGACTAACGCTGTGTACAGCTGAAGCATCATTTCTTCCCCTTTGTATTCCAGGCCCTGAGATAAAGGACAACATTCCATTCACCTTTTTGATTACTTTTTGTACCCGTGAGCTTGTTTTTAGTGATTTGTGGACGTGGACACCCAAATCTCTTTGCTCTTCCACAGTTCTTAGTTTCTCATCATTTAGAAAATATTCAGTGTTAACTTCCTGCTCTCATCTACACAATTTACTGTGCCTCCTAACTTTGTGTCATCTGCAAATTTTGATATAAAACCCATTCATTCATCCCAGTCAGGGTAATATATATATATACACATATATATATACGCATATATATGTGTAGAAAAGCTGAGGCCCCAGTGCAGACTCCTGGCGAACACCACTTGTCACATCGGACCAATCAGAGAACACTCTTTTTATCCCTATTCTCTGTTGCCTGTTTCCCAACCAATTACCAAGCTACGTCACAAAATTACCTCCGATTCCAAGCACTTGTATTTTTGCTGCTAATCTCTTGTGCAGAACCTTATCAAATGGCTTCTGAAAGTCCATCCATAGACACTCCCTTATCCACCATATTAGTGACCTTCTCAAAAAAATTCAGTTACATTTGTCAGACATGACCTACCTCTCACAAATCCATGATTATGTCTCTAGAGATTACCTCGCAGCACTTTGCCTCCTGTAACACCCTCACTTCCTGTCAAACTCTCACCTCCAGTCATACTTAAAATAAAGAATAGTTATGTGATCCTGAAAGCATGATGTCCAGCATTTTTATAGGGTTATAGTAAAAAATAGTTATTTTCTGTGACAAACCTCAACTACAGCTTGAAGTAACTACTTATCGACTGTGATTACTAAATTATGTTTTTCCCCCTTTCCTTAAAAAGATACCACAAGACCCAAGCGTGACTATGAAATGGATGGACGGGACTATCACTTTGTTACCTGTAGGGAACAGATGGAAAAAGATATCCAGGAGCACAAATTTATTGAAGCAGGACAATACAATGAAAATCTATATGGGACTAGCGTCCAGTCTGTAAAATATGTGGCTGAAAGGGTAAGTTATGGCCTTTAGAATGCGTTTATTTTTTTATTGGAATGGAAAGTCAATGTTTCTGCTCAAGATAAGAAATAACTTTCACTTTTCAGTTTTACAATACCTAATCCTGTAGCACTGCCTCAAAGTGATTCACAAACAATTATAGTCCAGTGTAGTAGCTGTTTTGTGGAAAACACAACTGCAATTTCCAAGATGGAGTGTTGCTGCTAAGAATGAAATACTTTCCTGCTTTTTGCAGCCAATATCAGCTTCAGGCACTACCAGGGCAGATATGTAGAGTTTAGATGGGAATTTTCATTGCCATAACCTCAAATGATTAGATCAGTAAGATATTTTTATTCTCTACACCAAATGCCTTGTTAATTTAATGTAAAATAATGCCTCGGTGCCAATTTAATGTCAACTGGTGCCTTGGGCTTTCGTCTTCTAAGAAGTAGAATAAAATTCTAGTCAGCTAGCTTAGTTGCTAGCACTCCCATCTCTGAGTCAAAAGGTTATATGTTCAAGACTCACATCAGCAATTTTAGCTCACAGTCTAGGCTGCCATCCTTCAGCTGAGATGTCAAACCGAGGTCCCATCTGCCTTTTCAGGTGATGTTAAAGATCCCATACCACTATTTAAAAAGCAGAAAAATTATGTGAGTCATTCATTTCAGTGGCATTGTTGTGTGCAAATTGGCTGCCACATCCATCTACAAATGCATATATACCGACCACATTGCATACAGCCTAGACTGTGAGCTCAAAGATCTGGCATGATGCTTGAACTCACAACCTTCTGACTCAGAAACAAGACAGCTACCAACTAAGACAGACTGGCACATAAGTTGTTTATGTGCTGTTAAGGTTGTGGAATTGTATACGACAAAATAACATATAAAATTAGCTTGGCGAGAGAAGAAAGAAGCAAAAGAAACATTGATTGCTGAACTCCTTCCAATAAGATGAATGCAATACATAAACAAAATTCTTTCGCTAAAAGGTAAATTTGTTTCCAAATTGATGAGATTATGTTAATAGAAAATAGTTCATAGTCATTATTGATTTTGTGTGATAGTCTCTCTTTCAGTACAGTTACTTCAGGCTGAGATGACACAAAATCCTGCTGCACTATTATGTATTTATAATAATATAATAATCCTTGGATTTGATGTAGCGCTTTTCACATCTTCTAGACGTCTCAAAGCGCTTCACAGAATATACTGTAAAGTGAATTGACGGTATATTTGTGGGCGAAACGCAGCAGCCAATTGCACACAGCAATGTCCCACAAACAGTAAACACACACAGCAATGGACATGGACACACACACACACAGCAATGGGAGCCAATGAACACACATACAGCAATGAACACACATACAGCAATAAACACACACACATAACAATGGGCACACACACATCAATAGACACACAAACACACAGCAATGGGAGCCAATGGACACACGCACACTCACAGCAATCAGCACAGACACACAGAGCAATGGGCACACACGCGCACAGCAACGGGCACACGCACACACTGTAATGGGCACACACACACAGCAATGGACACACATAGCAATTTCCATTAACATCACCTCATCAGTTTGGAAAGAGATGGTTCAACAAATCTTTCCTTTACTTTAAAGATTTCAAATTCCTTGCTTTCACAATTAAGCACGGGGATAAACACTTAAGTTCAAATGTTAGGGTTTTATTGTGCACTGTAACATTACATAAGGGTCCCTTTTGAGTGTAATGTTTTGTGTGGCATTCATTGAAAATCATCCGCAAAGTGGTCTCCAGAGCAGTGTTCCAGCCAAACAACGTTGATTCACGACAAATATTACAGTATAAGCGCAGCATGAATGCCAAGATCATCCAGCTATTAATAGTCTAGATTCCAGCATAGTATCTTGACATAATAAGAGAGAGATCAGCAAAATAGATTTTCTAAAACTATATCTGAAATTGTTTTTTAATTATTCAAGCAGAATTCTTGTTATTCTACCTGCAACAAATTTCATTATACTACATTAAAAACATATCATCGAAACAATTTCAGAATAATTTTAAATGATAATTATCCGTGGATTTGATATAACATCCTATCACGTCATTGAACTGTCTCATAATGCTTCGCAGGATCTTTTCTATGTGATGTTGTAATTACATTTATAGACAAACATGGCATGCAATAGATCACAGGCAAAAGGAAATTTCTCGTATTATTAATCTAAATTAGTATTTTTACAGGCATAATTTAGCACAGCTTCAAATAATAATAATAATAACAAACCTTGCAAACAAAATATTACATTAATAGTCTTGTAAATCAGTCATTTAGGATAATTCACCACATCATGCAAACGTAGCCACGCAGACTTTTTCAATCAGGGATTAAATCGTTCTATCTTAAAAGTAAAGCAAATATGTTTTTTATTGTTCTGTGTCAGTGGATATGTGAGGTTAGAATAGCAGATTGGTTTATTTACTCCATTTTGTTTTTCATTGGATTCCTCTCATGCACTGCCTGTTTAATTCAATAATTGTTTGATTTAAGCCCAGTGAATACTGTGAAAATGATTGCAGTTTTCCGAGTTTTAACAAACAAATTACTTAAGTAGATCTGAATGGATGGAGATTTTCATCGTTAAATTTTGAAAAAAATTATGATTATAAATAATAAATAAATTAGAATCAGGAAAGTCTTCATATAATTTATAACATATAGGTAAGCTTCCAGACATGTGATGCTCAGTGTTAAAGGAAATTACATCACACAGATCTCCATTTTGTTTTAACAGATGTTTACTTTCATTATGTTTCACAGTTTCACCAACTGATAATTCTAAATGATTCCAGCCTTGAAATTGAATAAGTTGTGAAGATTGTATAACAATTTCAAATGTCTTTGTATGTTTTTCAATGAGTCCAATATTCTGGCCTTAACCATCTTTCATAGTAACCTGTTCCAAACGTTAATTACTATCTGGGTAAAGAAATACTTCCTGGTGTATATAGTGAAGCTGAATATCCATAAAATACAATAAATATTCTTGTTAATGTTGAATAGTATTCTACAGAGCATATTAAGTATCTAATGAAAACCTTTCACTGTCCAGTGCCTTGGGACTTCCTCCCAATGTGAAGGGCATTATATAAATGCAATTTGTTGTTGTTTCTATAGCACAAGAATATCCTGTAATGCCAACATCTCTCCCTCCCTCAAAGATGCTTTCATCTCATAAATTGCAGTTATAAAAGTATTTTCATTTCATATTGAATCATTCCTTTGCAGAATAAATAGTGTTAAGGTTCTAACTAATTATTTTCAATACAGAAGATAATAATCTTATTAGGATTGCTGAACTATTTCTTCTTTCTGTTAGGGGAAACATTGCATACTGGACGTGTCGGGTAATGCTATAAAACGGTTACAAATTGCACAACTCTACCCTATTGCTATTTTTATCAAGCCTGTTTCAGTGGAGTCATTAATGTAAGTATTTTGTATTGTATTAATTATTGTGTTTAGGTTTGATATTCAGTATTTAGTACTGTAAGATGAGTTTGTCTAACGTCTCTCTTTAATGATTGCAATCACAGCGCAGCCAAGTTGCCTGTTTTGTCCATTTTCAGTTTTATTATGTGATGAGTTGATTATGCTTGGTTGAATGTTTGGATACAGCCTTCATGTTCTCCCATATTGACCGTGATTGAACAACAAACCAGGAAAAGAACACTCAGTGACCAAGTTGGACCGGTTTTGATTGATTCACTGAGTATGGATAATTTGGTCTTTTTGTTCAGGTGCAACTGAAAAACGTCAGGATACAGTTCTTTAACTATTCCCAGAAAGTTATGTTCAATAACTTGTCATTATGGAAATTGGCAGAGTTAGGATAAGGAGTTACAGCACAAATTAGTTATTTTCATTTTGTAATTGTTATCAAGTGGGTGAAGCTAAAATTGGTTGACATATATCCATGTCCTATCGGACTCTTTTGGGGGAGATATTTGCAGGATCACTTACTGGTTTGATGTTAACAGGATAATATTTTGACTTACAAGAACATAAGACCATAAGAAATGCTAGACGACAAAAGATCAAGGTCCATCTTGTTCACCTTCCAGCTTCCTGGCGGTCGCATGCACATATGTCCCGAACTACCTGTGTACCCATAATGTTATTTCCTAAAAGCTTTATATTTCATAACTAAAAATCATAGAAGCTGCTAATCCAAATCCTGAAAACGGAAATGCTGGTTCCTGATTCCTGTTGTAGATTCTTGCTGTTACTTGATTTGTTTTCTGTAGCATCACAGGAGGCAAGGCTGTGGGTTAATCTGTAATTACAGGAATCGCAGGGCTCCTTCCCATTACTCTTCCCCTTCAGAAAATGCTAATTTTATCTTATGGGAATCAATGTTGCATAAGTCCTGTGTTTAGGCAAAGGGCTATCTAATAATTTATCAGTAACAATTCATCCGTGCAAAGTCTGGTAGCAAAATATGTTTTCAGACTTTGTAGTTTCAAAATAAATAAATAATTAAAATTTACAGCTTTTGGAGGGAGATCTTCAAGGCTGAGACTGATAGATTTTCAAAAAACAGAGGGATTAGGAAATATGGGTATAGGACAGGTAATTAGAGTTAGGTCTGAAGATCAGCCATGATCTTATCGAATGGCGGGGCAGGCTCGAGGGGCCGAATGGCCTACTCCTGCTCCTAGTTCTTATGTTCTTATGTTCTTATGATGATCTATTGCGTTTTAAAAAACATTTCCCCACAGCCTGACAACCCCCTGTGGCAGTGTCATTGGCTTTGGGCTACTAATGGTGTCGGAGGCAAAAGTCTGTCGATTTGGGGCACTTCATCCCATGTGGAACATTCATGTCAGTTTTGGCGAGGTGATGGGCAGGAGTGAGCATTACAAAAATATATAAGGTGCTTAAGGGCTTTCTGACAAATGTACACAGATATAGTACTTCCATATATTTCTCATGATTTATTGTTCAGTCCATTAATTTCACCAATAATATTGAATTGTGTTAATTGGACGTTCTGGCCAGCTTTAGCTATTCTTTCTTAACACCTCCTGCAGCTTTGAAATATGACTAGTGCACAATTCCAGTTAGACAACATCTGTATAGGTGAATTTCCCACAATTGTCATGCTGGATACTGTATATCAGCAGAAATATACAAGTTCATTGAACAAGATGTTGAGTATATAAAAAGTAAAATCATATCTGGTTTTGTTGTGTCATAGAAAATGCTGTCTTGTCACTTGAAGGGTTTAATTGAGAAAAGTATACTGTATTCAGGCAAAAATGCAGTTTCATATCAGTTGATATTTTTTGTCACACACAGGTGTGCAGAGGGACTCATTCCATAAATGCTCTAGATATGAACAGGAGGAGGGGAGGAGAGGTCACACTCACAGCCAGTCTTTTAACATAGATAGACAATTGCAGTGTTTCATAACAGAATTCATAACATTTGATAATTGTTCTCCAAGAGAAACTGCTATGTTCTTTTAAAAAATTATGTCACCTCCTGTACATACCATGTAATAAGTAACCATCTCCAAAACTCCGCAGCTCCTGTACTCTCGGGCATAAGGCTCCGTAACCTCATCACTCCCACCCTCACCCGACTCCACTGGCTCCCCATCCCTCAAAGGATTGAATTCAAGATCCTCGTCTTCATTTTCAAGGCCATCCATGGCCTTGCCTCCTCCTATCTACCTGACCTGCTGACTCCCTACCACCTGCCCCCTCCCTCCGTTTCAACAGGCTCCGGTCTGCTCCATGTCTCCCGTCCGACCCCCCCTACCAACAGTGGCTGGGCTTTCAGCCTCTCTGCCCCCACACTCTGGAACTCCATCCCACAATCCCTTCACATCACTTCCTCCCTTGCCTCCTTCAAGGCAGGTCTCAAGACCCTTCTCTTTGATCGTGCCTTTGGTCGTCCTCCCACCTCTCTGCCTTCCCTCACCCCTACACCACCCCTCCCCCATGCTCGGGTCCCGACCCCTGACTGTTCAGCGCTTTGGGATGTCCTCCCGACGTGAAATGCGCTCTATAAATGTAATTTTGTTGTGGTTGTTGTTAGTCATGTCTTAGGTGAAGTAAAGAACTACACACAATAAAAATTGAAAGTCCGAATTTGACTGGTAATATTTTTCCATTTTTGAATGATTGCCCTTTGTCAAATTCTGTTGCCTTTAAATTGGTAGATTGTTAGAAGGTAACATTTCACAAGTGATTTGCTGTGGGAATCTCAGATGAACATACGCATCAAGCAAGATGACGATTGAGCACAGTTTTCATTCCTGAGCATGACCGGAGGTTGTGATTTGTTTTCTGGAAGAGTAGGGCTGGATTTTTGCCATGTATAAAACTAACCTGAAGAATGGAATCAAACCAATCTCCAGCAAACCTGGCAGACATACTTTTCACTGATTACCTTTGTTGGCATCAGACTCAGAGTAAAGTGTTGGTTTGCTCGTAGCTGTGGAACAGATTTTGATTGAAAGGCTCCTATTCAAAAGTAGTTGCTCATGAACATTACCTTACTTGTATGAGGTCCGAGGGCTATCTTTACATCAAAATTACTTACTCTGATAGATAACATTCCTCTTTGCTTTGGGGAAGAAGCAATGGTGAAATAACTGAGAAAATTAAAATATTTTATATAAAAAAGGTTTGACCTTTTATATTAGATTCAACTTCTGGCAAAGATACTACATAGAATGCTATTGGAAGGTTTTCCCGCCAATATTTATATTTCATGTGTTGATGCCATTTCTTGTTTCAGGGAAATGAATAAACGCCTGACAGAGGAGCAAGCAAGAAAGACATGTGAGAGAGCCATGAAACTGGAGCAGGAATTTGGGGAGCATTTTACAGGTAAACAAATCACCTAAACAATAAGTAGACTTACAAACATTTGCTTTCCCATTCATAATGCAGCTTTCTTTTAGAATGAATCTAATAATAATAATAATCCTTACATTTGGTATAGCATCTTTCATGTCAGAGCGCTTCACAGGATGTACTATAAAGTGGTGTGACTGTGTATTCTGTGTGTGAACACAGAAGCTAGTATGATTATGTTGCCTTTTAGGAGTGTGACACTAAGCTTTCATGGAAAAAAAATGAATTGCATTTTATCACTGATAAAATTTCCATCACAATTTATTCCAATCACAATCATGCAAATAAAGCCTTAGAATAAAGTTGCTCTGTCTACTCACTGTAAGTATCCATGTCAAATAGGTCTAATAATTTTCAGTGGGTTTAAGATCTCATTCCTTAATTTGGCAGTAAATTGGCAATTGAACTGACAGGGATCAAAAGGCACCAATTTCAAATGGCTAAGTTATTTGTTCAAAATAAAATTATTTATTTAAATAAAATAATTAAAATTCGCAATTGGCTGCTATGTTTCGCCCACAAAGTATAGTCAATTCACTTTATTGTATATTCTGTGAAGCGTTTGGAGACTTCTCGGTGACGTGATAAGGTACTATATCAAATGCAAGGATTATTATTAATAGTTGTAATATATTATGCTGGCTCACAAGAATCTTGAATGTAGATCAAGTCAGACCAGAGTTCCTGTGAATCAGTGTGACTTACTCCTGAATTCCTCCAATAAGAAATAGTTTCTGGTGCAGAAGGGGGTGCTTGCTCTTGTGAGGTTGCTGCTGAAACACATTATTCAAATAGTGTAAAATGGGCTTTCCTCTACATCTGACTGTAAAGTAACCTGGCCTTGGATCACTACATATTAGCTCCTATTCAGTACGTAAGATGACATAAATTTATCATGATTTTGACATAGTGCCAGTATTGGCTTTGTTAAAAAATTTCAATATTAAAATAGCTACATTATAGTTTCACATCTGCAGATTTGGCTGCTATTCAGAAATAGCTACAAGATTTGCGATGTCATTACTTTGTCCCCTGTCTATTTTAACTGTAGTTGTTATCCACCATTTGGTTACCAAAAGGTCAAGATCCAAAAAGGCACAATCACATTTTCTTTGCATTGGCAAAGGCTCTAACTTGACTAACCGATTGATAATAACAGGTTGCTCTGTAATTCTGCAAACCATTTTTCAAATCCTTACAGTCGTTTTACTTTAAAGTGCAAAGTATCAAATCCTAAATGCAGTGCACAATTCGGTAAAATTACACCTTAACAATTTTGTTAAATCCTCAAAAAAACATGTTTTTAACTATTTTGTGAATTTACAAAAATGTCTATACATATATATATGTGTGTATGTGTGTGTGTGTGTCTATGTATGTGTGTGCACATGTATATATTTTTAAAGTGATTCAAATACTAGGGTCGCCATCAAGTCAGATTCTAAATGTCACAGCTGATGTTTGCTTGAGTTTTCACAGAATCATAGAATTATACAGCACAGAAGGAGGCCATTCGGCCCATTGTGTCTGTGCCGGCTCTTTGAAGACATATATCCAAATCAATTCCACTCCCACGTTCTCTCCCCATAGCCCTGCAAACTTGTCTTTCCCAAATAATTATCTACTTCTGTTATCGTATCGGCTTCCACCACCTTGTGAAAAACGTTCTCCTTACCTCCCCTCTGTTTCTTTTAACAACTACTTTGATAGTTCAAGCTGTATATATTTTTTTAAATTATTCAATTTGTCTGTGAGCGTCACAGCTGTACTGGACTGTGCTTTCTCTCTATCCCAATCAGCCACAGGTCACCGGAATGTGAATAAAAAGCATCTGGAGTGCTCCTGATTTGAATGTGAGCTACATTGTAAATATCATCCAAATCAGCGAGCGGGGTCTAGAAAAAAAACAGCAGCACATTAGGTGTAGCATTGAATTCACAAGGCTATTTAGTCACACTGAGGTCAAGCCCCTCCCCCACCTCACCCCACCCCACCCCAAGACAATATTGTATGTTGGGATTTGGCATTTTCAGACAGAATATTTACTTAGCCCATTTACTACAAACAAAGCTTGTATATAGATTGGCACTGCATTTACTGAACTCCTCTCTCATGGGGTCACAACTCACTGCTGGTGTATCAGCAGAGTAATGTCAGCACCAGAATCCCTGGAGAATTCAATGACCCACTATTTTCCTTTCTGAAATGCACAATTCAGAGAAGAACTAAAATAAGGTAAACTTATAAAACTAAAATCATGAGCATTGATTCTTGTTTAATTTAAACCTACAGCAATAGTACAAGGGGAAACCCTAGAAGAGATTTACAACCAATGCAAACTAGCCATTGAAGAACAGTCTGGGCCGTACATTTGGGTTCCTTCAAAGGAGAAATTGTGAACCAGATGGAGATGTGAGAGTGGAAGAGGAAACCTAATCGAATAGTGACATTTTAAGTTTTTTTAAATTATATTCTCATCACTGTCTCTGTGCATTATCATGAATTTCCATCCAAGTCATAAGCTCAGCAGAATATTTCTGCACATGCTGGAGCCTGGGCATGGATGGGTTGGGGGGTGATCAAACAACCAAGGGAAGATTTAGCAAAGAAGAAACTACTTCTGGTACAGCAATGAAGGATCCTTAAACTTTGTGAATCCAAGCTACATGTGTTCTGAATTCTTGTTTAAATTGTTTAGCCTTTGTTATAATCAAATGGGAAAAGCAGTAACTTCCTGCACTTAGTTTTGCTCTCTGATAGGGCAGCATCCAGCTTTATAATGTTATCGAGCTTGCCTGTATCCATTAGTTAATTTGTATCTTGTAGATTTTGTAACTATGCAAATAGAGAGTTCTTTGCATACTGTTTCTGAACACAGATGTTTTTTGTTGAAACTGAACATGAACACGCTACGTAAAGGTTAATTCACATCTGTATAATTTGAATCAGAAGTATTTTTGAGCGGTCAACACATTTTAGGATGTGTCTAATTCGTCAATGGTTAAAATCAGGATAAATTTGAGTAATTACAACACTATACATTTTAATATTTTTATTCAGAGGTTATTGAAATAATTTATAGTAAAGGAAATATATTGCTGTAAATTGTGAGGTTTATTGGTCGAAATGTTCTATGACAGTTTCAGCTTTGGCTGAAAGTATTGTTTTTAAGTTTAAAAATAGAACGATTAGGAAGGCAGGAAATTAGCAAGTAGTTTTACATGGCCAGGAACCTAAATGAATTAAATATCAGCCAAAATGGAGGAAATTCACTGCCATCTCCAGCTGTTTCTAGTGAAATCTCACTTACTTTTTCCCTCCTAAAAATAAGCATGCAGCTTGAAGTTTTATCCTTAAATTAGTCAATGTTAAGTTGTGTGCTGTGCATTACAGTTTGAAAAGTAATAACTGTGGCTAAGTACAATCAAAAAAATCATTTGTGTTTCCAAAATAGACATAGCAATGTTTTATTTAAGTTTATTCCAGTTTATTATTTAGTCCTGTATCTTGTGGCTGCTTCCAGTCTGGGGCTGCTATTGCACTTCTTTAAAACTGACCCTTACTGTTTCCTGTTTTTTTTTGATTTTTTCCCCCCCTTTATTCAACTGGAGTTTTATCTTCTGTAACAATGAGTGAATTGTACTGTACAGACTGCTGTATTTAAGGTGCAATGTAAGATTATGCTTGTTCTGTACTGGTTTGATCACAACTGAACTCAATTTTACGCTGTAATACAAAATACTCCATACCCATTACAGATCCAGTTTCAAGTAGACAGTATAACTTAAACCCTGAATGCAGTTGATAAAAATGTTATCCAACAATGATCTTGACAGACAACAGTTAATAGTTAAACAGTTAAACTGTTTTGCCATTTCCTTCTATTCACTCCATGCTGGACACTGTCTACATCCAAATTGACTGCAATAATAATAATCCTTGCATTTGATATAGGCTCTTATCACGTCTTGGAGATGATTCAAAGTGCTTACAGAATATACTGTAAAGTGAATTGACTGTATATTTTGTGGGTGAAACACGGCAGCCAATTGCACACAGCAGTGTCCCACAAACAGTCGTGGATTGAGTGAGCACATTTTTTTAGAAAAATTCCAACACTCATAATGAAAAAAATGGGTATGGAGTAATCAAACTCACCATCAGTGAAGTTGTTGCTTCAAATTGATCAGCGACATGTGGAAAACATATTATCTCTAAAACCCATAATGTTGGAGTGTTCAAGGGTGAAAGTTAACGAGCACATGTAACATGGGAATGAATTTAAGCTCCCATGGAGCCCACAATTCTACTTGTTGTTCCCCTTCACTCTAGTTTATTCAATGCATATGTGCAGCAACTTTGACGATGTGCACTTATTTTAAACGGGCTTCCCAATCATAAGTCTGTATTGGCAAGATTGTTACACTTAACTGGAGGCTTTTATCCCCATTAGTTCCACACTTTCAATTTACGTTTATTTAAGTATACCCACAATTTCTCCAATAGGATTTTGATTTCCATGTTAATCTCCCAAATTTTATGTGAAGTTAAATGGTATTGTTTATAGAGAGCTGGATGAAGGAGTTCTTCTGTATTCTCTATATTTTTCAGGAACACTTAGGAAAAATGCTCCTGTATTCCAGTTTGTTTAAATCTAGGATTTCAAGCCCAAAAGCCTATTTATCACACTAAAATGTGGTAGAATTTGAAGCTTTGGATCTCTTACACTAACCTCTGCAAACAGAGGTTAAATAGCCCATTTTAAAGTCTACAGCTGAATCCCTTTTACGGTACTGCCCACAGTAGTTGGATCTAATTGAAGAAGGAGCTCCACTGTTGGAATAAGCTCACATTTTCCTGAACAGAAGATTTTACAAAACAGCTTAGTTACTTGTTGATTGTAAATAATTAATTCCATCCATTCCATTTGTGTAAAGGAAAAAGCACACGTAAATAAAGAATTCAGATGTATATTTAACAATATAAATAAGTATTCATGCTTGTTTATAATTTAAAAAAATTAAATGACACTTTATTACTAAATGACATAAACACACTATAGTTTCTTGATATGCTGCTTTGGATCACAGTTCCATGTTTTGGTCAGTTGTTGGCTGCACTATTTCACAATAAACCTACAGAACCTTAATTCAATAAACAGTTTCTCTTTACACGTCGTAAGTATTATTAGTTATGATGTATGCAATCTTACTTTTCTGGCTTTCTTTTGAAGTGTTTATCTTGCAGAAGAGAAAGTTCCCTTTTCACTTAAATATGTTATTGCAAAATCAATGTTCATTGGGTAATTTTGTGCCCAAACTAAAATCATTAATACATTGTGATTGAAAATCTTCCCATTGTAGACTTTTTAACAGCATTCACTGATTTCTAGTTCAAACATTTGAATTGAAGGATACATTCTTTAAATAGAAAAGAGCAGAACAAGAAGCAACAATGCTCAAATTCCTTGAAGTGAATCAAAAAATCTGACATTCCAGAAAAAAATGAAATTGTAAAATTATAATTGTAAAAATGTAAGAAATGTAAAAAAAATTCTGGCAACAGAAACAATTGAAAATTCATATGGGGAGGGATGTAATAATTGCTCATCCTGACTTTTCTATTATTAGCCATTGTGATTTATACAGCAGATTTTATATTGGAATTAATAAACCATTCATTCTACTGTTGGTAAATTCACTGCCCATCGTGAAATTTAGCCATACGCATCACTAATGGCCCAGATTACATGCCTGGTGTGTTCTGAGTTAGTTTGTCTCAGCTGGCTCAGCAGTATAACTGCTACAATTGGCTTCAGTGCCTTTGCCCTAATTATCCAGAGTTTTTGCTCCTATTGACTATCAAGTGACCCTTGCTAAAAGCACATCCGTGTAGATGTTGGGTGAAAACAGAATCAAGTGGAGTTGTAAAGTGCCAAATTCTTAAATAGCCTGTAAAAGCCAGTGATTGTGAACCTATTTGTGCTCATGTGCCGTAAAACATCATAGCAAAAGCCATGTGCAGCACAAGAGGTGAAAAATAAAATTATAATTTAGATTTTTAAAAACATTATCAAAACGCTTGTCTGATGTTGAATTGCTGGAGATAAATAATAATAATAATCCTTGCATTTGATATAGCGCTTTTCACGTCGGGAGGACGTCCCAAAGCACTTCACAGAACACACTGTAAAGTGAATTGACTGTATATTTGTGGGCGAAAACGCGGCAGCCAATTGCGCACAGCAATGTCCCACAAACAGTCATAGATTGAAAATAACCAATTTATTATTGTTTTTGGTTTTGGAAGGATTATTATTAGGCGTGTGGAGTAAGGATACTTACCCAGGGTGTCGCCCTGCCTGGAATTGAACTTAGGTCTCTCACTTGCAAAGCGAGTGCTCTAACCACTGAGCTACAGAACTCCATGCTTTTTAAATGAAACAAAAACTCCTACTCTGGGCCGGTCCATTCCCATGGTTGCTCATGAGGCTTGTTTTTCTGTGTATATGGTGGCTAGTAGATACGCATATCTAATATATCTTTCATTAAGCAGCAGATCACAAATCTTCAACAAACCGGTAGAATTGGCCTCATATTACACCTGTGCTTGTGCCATAGATTCAGCATTTAGTGGACTAGACACCACAAATGTTTGGATTCACACGTGAAGAATGGTCACCTGAATGAAGTACAGGAGGGCAAGTGTCCCACATGGAACTTTACCTCAGCTAAAAGCAGCACTTACAAGCAAGAGGGTGGCGGAGCGGGGGGGAGGAGAGCAAAAGACAACAAAATTACATTTGTAAAGCGCCTTTCACGTTCAGGAGGACATCCCAAGGCGCTGAACAGTCAGGGATCAGGACCCGAGTGTGGAGGGCAGGGTTGGGATGAGGCAGGATAGAGGGCCAGGAGCAGGCCAGAACCTGCTGAGCAGAGGGAGCGGACAGGTTGATGTGGGTCAGTAGGTCAGAGAGGTAGGAGGAGGGCAAGGCCGTCGAGGGCCTTGAAAATGAGGACAAGGATTTTGAATTCTATCCTCTGAGGGATGGGGAGCCAGTGGAGCCGGGCGAAGGTGGGGGTGATGGGGGTCACGGAGCCTGGTGAGGGAGAGGACACTAGCTGCAGAGTTCTGGATGATCTGCAGCTTGTGGAGGGAAGAGTTGGGGAGGCCAACAAGGAGAGAGTTTCCGTAGTAGAGCCTTGAGGTGACGAATGGGTGTATGAAGGATTAATACTAAAAGGATTTCTGCTCTCACCTCATGCCCAGAATAAAATCTGCTGGATCATTCACTTCAGGCTCAATAACATTTGCTTCAGCAAAATCCTCAATAGTGCTCTTCATGTTTAACGTGACACTTGCTCTTTTGGTTTAGCTCAACTGATTTTATTGGGAAACTAAGAATTCAAAGCTG